ATATATATATAATTTATATATTATATATTTCATTATATTTGATTATATACTATATTATATATATATATGTATGTGATTTCTCATCTAATCATGTATCCATGATATAAATCACGTGATTTCTGGCACTCCTCTTACAAATCTGTTAATTCCATACTTGGGTTAATCATGCATCCATGAATTCAATATCAGATTACTGTATTCTTAATAAAGATTAGAATATATTCTATTTCTGAGTCATTATACATGCTTTAAAAAGTTATCTATACAAATTCATTAATTCTATACTTGGGTTGATCATTTGAGTATGACGATAGAAACAGTTATGCATTATTCTAATTATATTTGGAATAGGGAAAAATATTCAAATTTTAAAAACATATATACAAAAGTGTATAAAAGTTTATTGAATTTACCTTGACAAAATTTCAACCTCGTAGTCTTGCCTATAATTTTAATAATTCAATAATTTAATCTACTAAAAAAAAAAGAAAAAACCTTATGTCCAAAAAATAATAATTTATTTCAAAAATTCTATATGAGAGTACTATCGAACCACATCTACATTATAGAATTTGGGCTAAAACCTGGTAAGAAAAAATTTCTACTGAATTAGAAGATGAAATGAAGGATATTGTAATACTTTATCATTTGTATATTTGTATTGGATATAAACTTAATAGTAAAAACTTTATTATCACAGTTGCATCTAATAATCTAAATTTACTAAAGCCAGGCTTTTTATATACCTGTGATGATATTGGAACAGATAATATTGAGTCAAGTCTATCAGTAGCAATTAAAAAATGCTATCAAACAATTTTTAATACTAAACCTGAATATTTTGGTTTGGTTGTAATAGGATTTGACAATGAGAATATTATCAAATGATTGATTAATGATGTAGTATTTTTTTAATATTTGTTCATATAGAAAAGTTTTCTGTGGTTATAATAAGCATTGGTGACCTGGATGAAGATAAATTCTATGGAGTCAGTACTGGATTTATTTTATTGTTTACTACGTATTACCATGGTGCACAACTCCTTTTTATATTCAAAATTGATAAAAATCAATGTATTCTAAAAATTTATTGGGAATCAGTGTGTATTAACAAAAATACAGAAGAAACTCCAGATAAGGGTTGAAAAAAAGTAGAGATTTATCAAAAATATACTGGAACATACCTTTTTGGAATTATAGACCCATTAGTTCAAGAATGTTTAAAGAAAATGAGAAGCGAATCACTAACATGTAAAATTAATACTAGATGAATACGCAACAGCTTGAAAAAGTATTTGTGCACTATATAAAATTATGTAAAATTTCTAATACAATGAGTGAAAATTGGTATTCTCATTTTTTATAATTGGTATTAGCAAGAAAGCTCTATTGTTTAGTTTCCACTTATATTACAAAACATTTACTTACCTGAATATAACTTTTATAAAAAAGAACTACGTACATAGTGAGCAATGTTTGTTGCTTATAGATATACTAATATAATACTCATTTCAAAAAAAGAATCATCTATAGAATTTTGGAGCAAAGCATTAGATCCTACTGCTAACAGAAAATTATTAAAATTTTTATAAAAATAATATTTTATAATTAGATAATATATTCAAACACCTGCAGCAGTTTTGCAACCAAATCTGCAAGATACAATATTTAAAATAGCTTTAAAAATACAATGCTTTTAAACAAAAGAGAATCTGATAGTAAAATTTGTATTCTTTCAATTATTGCTACAAAATTTAAATATCATATTCTCAAGGAAGAATTAGGTATAAGTAATTATAATGCAATAATTTTTTTAAAAGTTTTAGTTTTATTAACTAAAACCTTTAAAATTCACAAATCTGACATTAAACTAGAGATGGGCATCTTGTGACGTGTACTTAATTTTCACATATTTATAACTTATGTAAACATTGACATTTGGTGTGATTTTCATAATAATAATTGTGATGGATTATAATGAAATCCAGATCAAAATGAAATTATAATATAAAATCTCGAAAAATAAAATTTTTTGGGATACATTTTTTAGAGTTAAGAATTAGGATTAGGGGTTAGTTTTAAAGTAAAGTTATAATAAACAAGTATAAATAGGTTTTAGAAGGTTAGCAGGTTGAGTAGAAAATGTAGATTTCATTTTAAATTATGATCTGTGACAATAATTATGTAACAATTAAGCACACATCACTGATAAATGTGAGATCACAAATCTCTAGTTAAACCTTTTGAGACTAGGCAAGTTTCTTATTGATATTTCCAGATAAACCTGATTTGATCATCTTTAACAATTTTTAATTGACATTTTTTGTCATTAGGTTGCATTAGATACTATAAATAAAGCTAAAAAACATGCTTAGCTTTATGGCCCAGGTGCTCCGCCTTTACAAAAATCCAAAAGAACTGTTTAATGCTTATCTAATATTAAAGAAGAACAATTTTTGTTATTTTTTCAAGATAGAGAAAATGTCACAATGAGCTTATATTATGTGGATTCACAACTAGTTTGCCAATTCTATACTTGCGTGATCAGAAAAGTAACATGTAGGAAAAGTTTAGTAAAACTTATTCAAATGGTATGAAACAAACTGCTTTCATGGTGCAACTGAGTAATTGTATAAATCTTAAGTACTGTGAAGACCTAGGAGAACTATATATAATCTGCAACAATTATAGATATAATACTTTTGAAAATTTGGCAAATATACAAAATAATTTTACTCATATGAATTATGAGGTTAGTTTATATATTATGTAATTTTGAGATAAAAGTAATAACTATTTTATATATAAGTTATATGTTATTTCTAATATATAATTATCTTATTAAACAGTCTTATTAGTATAATATTGTAAATTACTTTGAAACTCTTAAATTCCATATAAAATGAAGTTATCCAAGAGAATTGAAAGTCATAGAAGATGGTAAAATTGAGCATGATTTGTGTATTTTCTACTGTTTGCCTTATGCTTTTGGTGAATACTTTAAAAATTACAAATCAAGATGCCCAGACTGCGATCAATTGTTTGACTTTCTGGATACTATATATGAATCAGTACCTGATGATACTTATAAACAAATAAAAGAGTGCAAAGAACAATTATTGTATTGCACATCAAGCATGAAAGTATACTTGAATGCCCAATTTAAAGCAACATTAGCTGAGCTTAATTTTGATAGCGCACTTTTTATTGCAAACTATAAAATATGTGTATTATCTAAGTTTGTATATGAATCAAAGCAAAATTTATTTGAAAAACATGGCTAGACTTTATATACAATTTTAGTTTATACTAAAAATGAAACTGAAATAGATATTAAAGCGTTTGATCACTGGTCAACGGATACCAAGCAAGATGCTTGGTTTATAGCATTATCTTTTAATATTGTTTTTGAGAAAATGAATAGAAAACCTCAATAGATAAAGGTAATATCTGATAATAGACCTTATTATCATAACTCCAAGTTAATAGCTATAATTGGATACTAGCACGAATAGTATAATATTGAGATTTGAAGCTGGTTGTTTTTAGAACCTGAAGAAGAAAAGACAACTGTCGATTCATATCATGCACAAGTTAGTAAATTTTTTTTTTTAACCAAAGTGTCAACAAATTCGTAAATTCAATTAGCAAGATAATCGAGAAAATTATTCATTGTTATCATGCTTATTATTTTCTTTTTTTATTTTACCCAACAAAAAAAAAGTTATAGATACACAAATTAGTAAAATACTATAATTTTAAAATTTTAGTTAATATTTGTTTGACACTCTGCTTCAATTATATCTTTTTTAAAGATAACACATATCTATAAAATAGTATTTACAAATCAGATACAGTATAGAATCAGGAAATGATATTTGTCAGGAACTTCACTAGCAAACATAGAGCCAAATTGCAATGACTATATAGAAATAGATAAAAATATCGAAGATATAAAATCAAAAAAATCAAAAATTAAAATAAAAACAATTAAAGAAATTTTGAAATTATTCTTTTGGAAATGGCCTGTAGAGAGTAGATACAGTGGATATATTCATACATGCCTATTGTCTCATATTGGAGAATGAAATAATTTTTTCTTTGTATATGTAAACTAGCTTTGGAATACTCTACTTCATCAGCTACAACTGACCATATCAGAGCATATAGTATCTGAATCTACATAGACAATTTCAATAAATACTAAGCCTAGTAAGTATTATACTATTGTTTAAACAAATTCTCAAACTTTGATCTAAATCAATATACATAACTTACTTTAGTTGAAGATGATAATAAAGAAGATATAGATGTATTTACGTAATATTAATTTTATACATTAAAAAAAATTCTAATTATTTGAAAACTAAAAGATAATATTAGCTTGGATTAAAATAAAGAAAATGAAAATGAAATTGATAATAGTAAGTAACAATATCAATATATATCTATGTTGTACTTTTTCGCCTTTCATTCAAATATCCAAAATTAAATTCAGTTTCTGTAGTTGTAGTCGCAATTTCAAGATATGCAAATATAAGAAAACTTTTTGTTCAATTGTATCAAGATTAGCCTTAATTGTGTGGTCTCTTTTTGAATCGTTTTTGTATTAACTAATAAATATTTATTTTATTTGTTAATCGACTCTTTAGTAAAAAAGATATAGAATTTCTATATACAGAGAGTAGATACTAAAAGACAACCAAAATTAGGTAATAAAGGAGACTAGAATAAAACAAGATATAAAAGCTATGTTAGAACATTTCTTTTTAAATAGAAACAAAAAAATTAAAGATAAAATGACTACACAAGCTATGTGTGATAAGCTTTTGATATATGGAATCTTTGCTAGAAAATATCCTTCTGAGGCTATGTTGATTTTGTGAATAAAAATTAAATTTGCCAACCATCTAGTTATCCAACTTTTTTTTATTTTGTGGAGCTAAATGAGCTATACATAATAAAAAAAGATCATTCGAATTAGATAACTAGATGGTCAGCATATTTAATTTTTATTCATAAAATCAATATTGCTTCAGAGGGTTATTTTTCTAGCAAAGATCCTATATGTTAAAACCGGTGAAATAGAAGAAAAAGATATTTCAACACTTCATACTATACAAAATTGGTTAAGTTTATATACTCATATTTTTAAGCAAAAAGTAACACTTTCCTCTTAGAACTATTTAATTTAAGATCCAAAAAATAAAATTTTAATTATCATATAACCATATCTATTTAATATACTTTATATGAAATTGAACATAAATAAGTTATAAAATTTTACCTTTAGTGGTAAATGCTTGTTTTAAGAACTATGCATAAAATTGTCTTTAAGTTTATTTGACTACTTTTATCTTTAGTTTGTCTTATTACTATAAAAGTAAATACAGTGGGGTAGCATAGCATTATGGACACTTTTTGAAATTTTATATTAAGCTAAATAAATAAGATATAAATCTAAAAATTACACAAAGTATTATTTAAATC